GCTCAGTCGTGTGCATGGCAACATTCAGGCTGGGGCGTGGCCAGGCTCAGGGGAGGAGTCAGAGCTCCAACGGGGCGGGGCCGCAGCATCTGGGCGTGGCCTCACACCAGGCCGGCGTCCGAGGCTCCCACGGAAGGACGGACAGTGGCGGTCTCCTGCCCGCGCCCGCACTCCCGACCCCACAGCTCGGGGCTCACCGCCGTGTAGGTGACCGCGTAGGCGCAGAGGGCCGCGTCCTTGCAGGGGAAGGCGCGGCGCGCAGCGGCCACGAGGCTGGGGCTGCCGGCGCAGGCGCCCTGGTCGGTGACGAAGCGGTCGGGCCCGGATCTGTCCGGCGAGGGCGGCGGGCAGCCCAGGGCCGTGTAGTTGGGGCGGCAGACGGACAGGAAGTGCGGGGTGGGGTTGCCCGTCACCACCTGGCCCGCGTTGGCGAAGATGGTCGTGGTGAAGAGGCCAAAGGAATAGACACCTAGGGGGCGGGGGGGGGGGTCATCCTGAGAACTCCCCGTGGCTCCATCCGGCCGCTGATGTGGCCCCCATTACAGTTCGGCCAAGGTCCTCCTCCCCAGGGACCCTCCCCCACAGCACACCTGGCCTCCGTCCCCCGTTATAGCTGTCCTGGGACCTCTCAACCCCACTTCAACAGGTTTGGGCCCGTGCTGGGCACCCTTGGGCAGCGCCAGCGGCACTGCTGGACGCTTGGACCCCCTATGTCATTGAGTCCACCGCTGCTCTCTAGAGCCCACTTAGCCAGATCTGGGTCGCCAGCCCTCTGCCTCCATGACCTTTGCCCCCACCCCGAGGCCACCAGTGGCAGATGGAGCTCCATTTAAAGCAACCCAGAGCCTCATCTCCCTATCCCAGGTCCCATGGCCTGTCTCTGTGTCCCCTCCCCCCTTTCTACCCAAGACTCCCCTTGTCGCCTTTCCGGGGGCCCACCTGCACCATGTCCCTGGCCCACCCCCCCAGCAGCCCCTCTTTGCCCCCACTGTGGCAGCCCTAGGCCCCTCCCTCCCCTGTGTCTCACCCAGGAAGCGGACCAGCCTCCGCAGCGGGGGGCTGAAGCGGCAGCAGGCCCCAGACACGATGGTGCTCTCTCCAATGATGGGGCTGGCCGAGGGGGGCGCAGGGAAGAAGGCCCGGGCCAGCTCCCCCAGCAGGATCTGTGGACAACAGCACGGAGGGGTCTCCCTGGCTTTCAAGCCCAGCCCCCCCCCCCACCTCCTGCAAGGTCCTCTCCACCGTCTCACCGTGAGCGTGGGCCCCGCGGTGACCAGGGCATAGATGAGGGCGGGAGGCGCTCGGCTGGCAGCCTCGGGCCCGGGGTAAGGCTTGGCATAGGTGCTGTCATAGCAGAAGAAGCCTTGGGTGTGCACGGGGAAGGTGTCGGTGAACTCCAGGCGGTAAGCCAGCAGGACCACGACCCCCAGCAGCACCGACTGCCATCGGCCATGGTGTGGAGAGAGGGAGAGAGGGAGAGAGGGAGAGAGAGGGGGTCAGGAGTGGAGGCTGCAGAAACAGAGATGGAGTGAGACAGAGAGACAGACCGGGAAATGGACAGAAACCAAGGCAACAGGGAGAGGGGGGTGGGGAGAGAGAGACACATCAGGGCTTGGGAGGAACAGAGAGAGGGAGAGAGCGAGAGCGATTGGGGAGAAGGAGTAGGAACGGCACCAAAGCCCAGCTCAGACAGACAGACAGTGTGGGAGGAGGGACAGCCAACAGGGTAAGAATGAAGGCCGGCGCCGCGGCTCACTAGGCTAATCCTCCACCTGCAGCGCCGGCACACCGGGTTCTAGTCCCGGTCGGGGCGCCGGATTTTGGCCCGGTTGCCCCTCTTCCAGGCCAGCTCTCTGCTGTGGCCGGGGGAAGGCAGTGGAGGATGGCCCAAGTCCTTGGGCCCTGCACCCCATGGGAGACCAGGAGAAGCACCTGGCTCCTGCCATCGGATCAGCGCGGTGCGCCGGCCACGCCGGCCATGGCGGCCATTGGAGGGTGAACCAACGGCAAAGGAAGACCTTTCTCTCTGTCTCTCTCTCTCTCACTGTCCACTCTGCCTGTCAAAAAATAAATAAATTAATTAAAAAAAAAAAAGAATGAAGAGAGGCTAAGCTAGGGTTTTTCTTTTTTTCACTTTTTACTCTTTGATTTCTTTACTTAGTGGCCTATCAAGCCCTTGACTATAATGTTAATGAAAAATAGACTGTCTCAGAAACTAAAAAAAAGTTCATCGCTAGGAGTCTTTCTACGTTGAACTCATTTGCAAACTTCAGAAAACTGAGTGGCCACTGTGGGCGGCAGGGAATGAATATGTTTTACCTCCGTAGCAGCGCCAGGAGAGGGGGACCCCGGTTTTGTCCACTTATCGGATAGGAACTGATGCCCAGGAGGCTTCCTGAGGCGCCCGGCGCACAGCCGGGACACAGAGGGAATGAAACGCAGGGTCCCTGCTTCTGACCGCTTCTCTAGGGAGAGGGGCAGCGGCAGAGACCCCAGAGACAGGGACAGAGCGAGCAGGGAGAGGCGTGGCGGGCCTGGAGCCAGGGAGGTGGGAAACGGGGTGTGGGTGGGGGTGGGGGACCTGGCACAGCGGAGGGAGACAGGTCGCGGGCCGGCGGGTGCGCACGCTCCGGCGTGTCGGGAACGTGCCGGGAACGCGCCGGGGGCTCACCTCCACGAACACGAAGCAGGGGATGATGGAGAAGCTTCTCTTCAGGTGAGGTCTCCCTCCCGCCATGGTGAAGGCCCAGCCTGCGAAGGCGCGGGGTTCAGGTCCCGCAGATCCTGGGCCCCCATCCCTGAGACTTTGGGCCACGCCCCTGGGCCTGCAGGCGACGGTGGGGGGGGGGGGAGCCCTGGCTCCGCCCCCAGAGCCTTCTAGCCACGCCTCTACACTCCAGGGCCCGCCCCGTTGGCCCCTGACCCTGCCCACTGGAGCCAGGAGCCTCCCCTGAGCGCGCAGCCTGGGGTCACCCCCCATAGACTGCTGCATACCTACTTCCTGCCGCTATGGGTCCCTGCCCCGCGTCTTTTGGGAGAAATCCTCCAGCATCAGGGGACCCCTCTCCCATTATAGGAGTCCTTACCAGTTTTTAGGGGAGCTCATCCTCTTTTCCCCAGGGCATCCCCGGCTTCATGGCCCCGGCTTCTTCTGGGCCTGGCCCCTAAGCACCTTTCGCCATGGCCTCCACAGCCCCCTCCCCCACTCTGTCCCCAAGGGCTGCCGTGTCTGGTGTGGCTGATAGCCAGGCCCACCCTCTGTCCCAGCTGCCGCTCCCTCCGCCCCCTCCTCCCAGCCGGTCTGCCTTCCGGCTCTCCCCTGCCTCCACCATGGGCACCGTGGCTGCTGGGAGCCCCTGGGGCCCACAGGGTCACACCCCTTCTCACCTGCGAAAGTTCCCTATGGCTTCCCATAGGCTGCCGCCGCGCCCACACAGTCACAGTAGCTCACGATGGCCAGCAGGGCAGGAATGGTCACCCCCATCGCGCAGATGTGGAAACTGACGCCCAGGGAGGCAAGGGGGGGCTCTCTGAGCCCACCGCCCCATCCAGGAAGCTGGCTCTGTTGTGTGACATATGGGGTGGCCACTGTCAGAAATTCCACCTGCCCCCCAACACACCACGGCGTGGGGTCCATCCAGCCCGCAAGGAAAATTCACAGAGCCCGCTGACTCCAAGGCTCCGTGGTGAACAAGCCAGGCCAGCTCATTCAGACAGGTGCCAACACCCACAGCGCACACACACACACACACACACGGCACAGTGTGCATCCGCCTGACGCCAGCACCCACACAGATCAAACAAGTCCCCCCCAAACACGAGGAACACACCCGGAGACACACTCCCCCCCACAAGCCCTTGCACACCCCAGGAGTCACCACCACACACAATGGAGTCACAGAGTCACACCCCCAAGTCCAAGGCAGCGGGTGACAGCCACACGCGTTAACAGTCTCTCATTCACATGGCGACCACAGCCACAGGGCACACAAGGGCCCACGCGTGTGCACACACACACACACACACACTGCGCGAGGCCACTCATCACAGCCACACAGGGCTGCACCAGGATGGACACACACACCAGCAGCCACACGGTGACCGCTCCACGCATACAGCCACACAGACACAGGCAGCAGGTGCATGGCCGCCACGCGGCGTCACAGGCACACACACACACACACACACCACTGATGCTCACAGCCACAGGCACACGAGACACAGCCACGACACCCCCAGCCTCACCATCACAGCCATCCAGGCACACGGACACAGTCACACAACAGCCGTCCTCGCCGCCGACCCGGCTCCACGCTCCCCTCCCCCAGCCCCGGGTCGCCGGCTGCCCTCCCCCTCCCCGCGCTGGACCCGGAGGGACCGGAGGCCCGGGCTGGATGGACAGACAGACGATCGAGGGTCTGAAGCCCATGGGGGGGGCGCCCCAAGCCCTTGCCCTCACCAGGTCGAGGCTGCCGTCGCCGCCCGGTCGCCCCCGCTCCGCCTCGGTGGCCCCGGCACAGCGGGCGGACAGACGGACCGCGGCCCCGGTGATGGAGACGCCGCTGGCCTGGGGGGGCCGGCGGCGCCGCGCAGACTCCGCGGAGGAGAGAGGGGCGGGGCCAATGGAGCTTATTTGCATGACGCCGCCGTGGGGCGGGGACTCGTGGCGTCTCATTAGCATGTGGGGGCGGGGCTTTGGTTGCTTAGGGGGCACCAAGCATGTTTGCAGAGATTCGGGAGGGAAAGGGGTGGAAGCGAAGAGGGAGGACCCTGGGGTGAGGAGGTGGGCCGCAGGAGGGGAGAGGGGGCACGGCTTCCGAGCTGGACCCTGGGCCGCGCCCTTCGCTCGCTGGGCCTTAGTGTCGGCGTTCGGGCAGTAGTGGCCAGGGCCCCCCATAAGAGGCAGGCTCCGGGGCCAGCGTGGAAGAGCCTGCCCCGCCGCCTGGATCTGGACACACGGCCCCTGACTTGGTCATCTGCCCCATGTCCCTTTGCAGGCCCAGGAGCAGCCCCGGCACTGAGGAGTAAACGGGGTGGGGGCGGGGCTCGGCACAGGGAGCAGCAGAAGTCCGGGGGTGGGGGAGGGTCTCGCTAGTTTTATTTTCTCTCTGCAGGGGTCTTCAGGGAGAGCAGTCCCGGCTGCTCAGGCTGCACAGAGAGAGAGGCGGGGTCAGAAGCTGGCCTGGTGCAGGAGCCCCTCACCCCCACCCCTACCCACCCTCCGCTGGTCGCTCGGGGGCAGGCTAGGAAGGGGAGCTGGGTGGGGCTTGGGGAGGACCAGCACCGGGTGGGAAGGACCGGCTCTTGTTGCAGGGTGGCTGATCAGAGTCCGAGTCAGAATCCCAGGACGGGAGCGGAGGGCTCAGGCAGCGGTGCCCTTTGTGGCCTGCTGGAGAGACCACAGGGTTTGCGCTGGTCCTGGCCCTGCCTGCTCAAGTCCTGACCCCGAAGTCGCTTGGTGTTATCAGAGAGATTCTTTTTTTTTTTTTTTTTTTTTTTTTTTTTTTTTTGACAGGCAGAGTGGACAGTGAGAGAGAGAGACAGAGAGAGAAAGGTCTTCCTTTTTGCCGTTGGTTCACCCTCCAATGGCCGCCGCTGCAGCCGGCGCACCGCGCTGATCCTGGCAGGAGCCAGGAGCCAGGTGCTTTTCCTGGTCTCCCATGGGGTGCAGGGCCCAAGCACCTGGGCCATCCTCCACTGCACTCCCTGGCCATAGCAGAGAGCTGGCCTGGAAGAGGGGCAACCGGGACAGAATCCGGCGCCCCAACCAGGACTAGAACCCGGTGTGCCGGCGCCGCAAGGTGGAGGATTAGCCTATTGAGCCACGGCGCCGGCTAATCAGAGAGATTCTTGATCACTCCCCCCACTGTCCCTTGGACGTGACCCAGAGTGACCACCCCCTGCCTGAGATACCAGAGACTCCTGAAACGATTCCCCCCTCCCTGAGCTGGAGTTGGGGAGTGACCTCCCCTGACTGTGGCCACACTCAGCCCCCTCACCCCGGAGGCTCGAGGCCCTGGGGCGGGCTCCTGTGGACATGGTGAGGCCGTCGATGGAATTCTGCAGCCCGTGGACGGCGGACCTGCGGGGAGAGGGGGAGATGGGGGCCCCAGGGTTCTGCCCCCTGGTTGGGGGGGCAGCAGTAGGGAGAGGCAGACGGATGAGGGTCAGGGGTCAGACTGGGGCAGGGGCTGCCGGGCATCACCATATGTCACTCAGTTCCTTTTGAAGGTCATCTTTCCAGCAGCCTCCGCCTCCCGGGGCCGCCGCCTCCATCTCCGGCCAGGCAGATGTCTCGTATGCATGCTGTTTCATCTTAGTCAGGACCTGGGGTGGGGGTGGGGGTGGGGGACAGTGCAGCACTACCCTCACAACGATGGTGACCGGGGAGCATTGCACAGCGCTTGTCCCAGGCAGAGCCCCAACGACGTGCCCGTTATACAGATAGAGAAACTGAGGCTAAGCCCAGCTAAGAGACGCAGAGCGGGTATAGGAAGCTAGGCTCCAGTCTGAGGGAGGAGGCTGGCAGAGCCCCACCCCCACGCAGGCTCACCTTGCGGCATTTCACCTGCGTCTTTTGCATCTTCTGGATATTCACCAGGTTCTCCGAGATCTCCTCTTCCTGCACCTCTGTGGGGGCAGGGCACTCAGCGGGGGCCAGGGGGTGGGGGGTGGAAGGAGCCCCTCCAGCCCCAGCCCCGCGCTGGCTCCCAGCACTCACGGAGCTTCTGGTAAATGAAGGTAACCTCCTCCCGAACCAGCTCCAGTTCCTCCCACAGGAACTTCTTGCTGAGGGGACAGGGCAGCCTAGAAGGACACTCCCTGCCCATGCCCCAGCCTCCCCCGGCCCTGGCTCGCTCTCCCGGGCCTCAGCTCTCCGACCGCCCATCCCCCCTGAAGCAAATGCCCACCGCCTCGTGCACCTGCTGCCCACTTCCCCTCCCGCAGCCCCCCTCCCCCTGCCCACGACTGTCCCCTCCTCCTAACCTCTACGCTGTCAGCCTCTCCCACCCCTCCACCTCCATCTCCCTCCCTTCTGGGTCCCAACAGCCCACACTCCAAGCTCCTGATCCCCCAGCCTCCTTCCCCATCCCCCCCGCCAGCTGCCTGTCTTCCCTGCCATCTGGTGGCCCCCAGGCAGCACCCCCTCCAGCCCCAGGCTCCCCCAGTCCTCCCAGCCCTTCCTGTGGTCCTCCAAGCCTTCCGCCCCCCACCCCCACCCCAGGACCCATTGGCCCAGGTCTTGGGCTCCCTTCCCTGGCCTTGCTTGCCTCCTTCAGCCTGGACGCTGCCCTCACCCACCTGTCCCGGATCTCCTGGGCCAGCAGCTGCAGGCAGCGGGTGGTCCGGGCCCTCTGCACCTCCTCACTGTCTCGCAGGGTCTTCTGCAGCCCCTGGAGACCTTGGGCCAGCGCCCCGTACAGCTCCTGGCGGCCCTGTTCCGTGCCCCACTTGTGTCCCTCCTTCTCTCCCTGGCGACAGCTGGGGCTCAGCATCTCTGCAGAGAGGTGAGACCGGGACTGAGCTTTGAACCCAACGTGCCCGACCTTGACCCAGAAGCCAACGGGACCGGTCCCCACCTTCAAGTTGCTGGATCTTGATTTGCTGTAGGCAGCTCTCCTTCTCCAGCATGGTCACCGAGTGGTTCAGGAACTCAAAGGCCTGGGGGCAAGGGGACCGGGCTTGAGCCGGCGGAGGGGGGGGGGAGGAAGGGGAGCAGCAGGTGCTGGGGACTTGGTTCACCTTGGTCTGCGCCTGCAGCTGGCTCTTGAGGGACTCCAGTTCACAGCGCAGGAGCTTCTGGGCATCAGGAATCATCATGGTGGACTTAGCTGCGGGCAGAGGAGAGGATGAACTGGCCCTGGAAGGGGTAGGGGCTGGGCCATGCGCAGGGCAGAGGCCAACAGTGATTCAGAGTAGGGGTGGGTGTGTGTGTGGGGGGGGGATCGCTGAGCGTGCCATGGCTGGGCCAGAAGGTGGAGGCAGGTAAGGGACAGGTTTCCCCACACTGTCTCGTTGGGGAAAGAGGGTCCTCACCTTTGACTTTGGAAGGGCTGGTCTCCAAGGCTTTCTAAGGAAGGGGGACAAGAGGGAAGTGGAGATTTGTCCCTGGGCTCCCTCTCTGCTCACTCTGACCCAGTATGGGAGGTTGGACAAGAGTCAGGTCTGTTGAATTCTCAGTGTTGCAAACCCTGCGTGCGGGCAAAGCTGCCTCGAGGCACATTCAAGTACCACCGCCTGTTCTGACCTGCGCTTGTGTGGCTCACCCTCCCCCACACTGTGTGTTGCCTGTAACAACACGCGCCCGGGCAGCCCTGACTCCCACCCAGCGCCAGCCCTGTCTCTGACTTGGGCTCAGGTCATCATGGCCCTCCTCCTTCCTCGAGGGGCAGGTGCATCAGCACAGCCCCAGGTCCACAGACACACAAGCAAAGCAACACCCAGAGACAGTCGCAGACACGACCCCACTGAAGACGCAACGTGTGCATTGCTTCCACGCATTCCTTCACGCAGCCACCCATCCATGCTCCAAGGTGCCGGGCGCTCTCCTAGGTCCTGAAAACACTCAGCGGGAGGCTCCCGCTGGCCCCACAGCACAGCCCCTTCCCTGTGCCCCCGCAGCGGTGGATGGCTGTGGCTGCCTGGGTTTCCTGGGTGGAAGTGACCTTATGATGATGCCTTCTCAAAAGCTCCTGGTCATTATAGCGTTCTTTGTGCAGATCTTGGGAGGGGAAGGGCGGAGCCCCGTACGGCTGAGGCCCCGAGCCCCACAATAGTCTCCAGTCTTCTCCCCTCACTGTGTCTTCAGAAGCAGCAGTTGCCAATGTCTCCTGCTCTGGCGTCCTGGACCAGTGAGTGGTACAGTCCAAAGCCTTGTCCGAAGTAGAGCCTAGGGGTGACGGCGTCCTTGAGGGAAAGCCCAGGGCACGTGTTGCACCCCCAGCCCCTCCCAAACCACCCCGCCCCCAGCCCTAGGGCAGCCCCTCTACGAACCCCAGTACTTCTCACACTTCCCGTTAGCAGGCAAACACACGTTGGAGGGGGAAGGAGATGAGAAGCGACAGGACAAGGAGTAGTCAGGGTCCAGGGGTAGGCCGGCCAAAAGAGGGTCGCTGTGGGTGGGTGAGGGGGACAGGTGCAGCCTTGAGACCCGCCCCCAGGTTGCAGGCACCCCCCAAGTCCTCCCTGATGCCTCTCGGTTACAGTGAGAACCAAAAGTGAATCCAAAATGATGCAGGTGGATGGCTAAAGGCCAAGTCCAAGCGGAAGCCACAGGAGGTTAACAGGGCAGCTACAGAAGCATCCAAAGCCAAGCCTAGGCGCCTGGACCAGATGGGAACCACAGAGCGTGCGCGCGAGAGCCCGGGGAATCCGGTCAACAGATGTCAGCTGAGTGGCGGGCCCGGGGCAGGTGCTAGGTGAGGCTGGGAAGAGAGCTCTCAGGTGCAGGTCTCACGTCTCTGCCTCCTCCCTCTCCCACTACAGGGAGGCCTAGCACACAGAGAGAAACCCTGGGGCAGGTCTCCAGGTCTGCCTGGAAAAACTTCCAGCGGGAAAGCATCTTGCACTGGGTCACACTCAGTCAGTTTCCCAAAGCTTCTAGAACTTTCTCTGCTTGCCCTTTGCCTCCTGTCCTTCTCTGGGTCTTGTCTGCCTAGAAGATGCCAACACACCCTTCGAAATACTCAGGGGCCAGCGTTGTGGTGTAGTGGGTACTGGCATCCCATGTGGGCGCCTGTTCTTGGCCCGGCTGCTCCACTTCTGCTCCAGCTCCCTGCTAATGCGCCTGGGAAAGCAGCAGAGGATGGTCCAAGTGCTTGGGCCCATGCACCTGCGTGGGAGACCCGGATGGAGCTCCTGGCTCCTGGCTTCCAGGCCATCCGGGGAGTGAACCGGGGGATGGAAGATCTCTCACTGTCTTTCCATCTCTGTAACTCTGACTTTCAAATAAATAGTCTTTTAAAAAAGTTTTTTTGACAGGTAGAGTTAGACAGTGAGAGAGAGAGACAGAGAGAAAGGTCTTTCTTCCGTTGGTTCACCCCCGAATGGCCGCTATGGCCGGTGCTGCGCCGATCCGAAGCCAGGAGCGAGGTGCTTCCTCCTGGTCTCCCATGCGGGTGCAGGGCCCAAGCACCTGGACCATCCTCCACTGCCCTCCTGGTCCACAGCAGAGAGCTGGCCTGGAAGAGGAGCCCCGCCTCCCATGCCCCTCCCACCTCAATCATTTCCTGCTCGGTTCCTCCCGGGAGAATTCTTTGGCGAAAAGGGGGCGTGGCCAGCCGTCCGGGCCCCGCCCCCTGGGCCGAGAAGTCTGGGCCCGCCAGGCTCCCGACCCCCTTCCACCCCCACCTACCACATACCACCTGCTCATGCTCGCCCATCAGGGACCGCGAAGCCAGTGCCCGGCTGTGACGCTGAAATTTGATCCCGTGGGGCCACCATCGCTGGAAAACGCGCCGCGGCTGAAGGTGGAGTCACAGAGAGGGGTGTGGCCGGCCTTTTAACTCCGCCCCCGCCCAGGGCGCCGAAAGCTTCATTGGCGCCTTCCCGGTTCCGCAGCGCTCAGCCGCCGCAATGTAATTGGATAAAAGCCCCAAGCAGGGGGTGGGACTCCAGGCTGGTTTCTGCTAAGCGATTAGTCACTACCTCAGAGGGCGGGACAAGAGGCGGCAGAGCCACGGTTCGATTGGTTCAGGGCTTGGCCGAGAGGCGGGATGAGTTCTTGGTTGGGGCGGCGGAGCCCAAGAGGGGAGGTGGCCGAGAAGGTCCGGGGTCCACTTGGGTGCGCGGGACACAGGTACCGAGCTGGGCCCGTCTGGCCTCTGCGCTGTGCCTCGGCGCCTGGGGTCTCGGAGCTTTGGATTGACATCCGGGTTCCACCCGTGGGGTCAGCGACGCCGAGATGGGATTTGGGGTTCCCAGGGTTACATGGGGAGGGGTCTGCGGGGCTGCCGGCGAGGAGGGACCCTTCTGGGTGCTGCAATAAGAGAGGGGGCTTGGCTGGCGGAACTGGGTCCTAGGGTGACGCGGGGCCGTGGGCTTGAGCTACTCGGGCTGAAATTGGGGGCGGGGGTCTCAGAGGTGGCGGGGATGCTGGGGTCCGAGAGCCCGCGCTGTTGAAGGCCTGCATTTGAAGAATTGGGGGCTCGGGGGTTGTCACAGAACTGCTCTGGGTCCTCGCCAAGCTCCGTTCTTGCACTGCTCTCCCCTGGATCGCTGCTGGATTGGCCACGACCTTGGCCCGGTCTAAAGGCCACAGGGCAAAGGTCAAGCTCTGAGCCACCCCCACCCCCACCCGTGCTTCCTTCCCAGGCCCCCACGATGGAGGAATACGGGGACCCGGGAGGTCTGGTTAAGGTGGTCCACCTGCTGGTCCTGGCCGGTGCTTGGGGCATGCAAATGTGGGTGACCTTCGCCTCAGGTAGGGACCCTCGTCCTGGCCTGGAAGGGGCGGGGGGAGCCTGGCCTGGACGTGCCCTAAAAGCGGGTGTGTGTCCCCCTGTCCCAGGCTTCCTGCTTTTCCGGAGCCTTCCACGACACACCTTCGGCCAGGTGCAGAGCAGACTGTTCCCGTACTACTTCTGCACGTCCGTGGGCTGCGCCCTCATCAACCTCTGTCTCGTGGCTCCGCAGCGGGCCTGGGCTCAGCTCACATTCTGGGAGACCAGCAAGGTACGCGGGCTTGAGGGCCGCTGCCCCCTGGCCACCTGCCCCCCGATCTCAGTGAGCACCTGTTGGCGGGGTGGGGGTGGGGGTGGGGGGTCTGTTCTACCTGTGGAGTCAAAGCCGAGCCCTGGGTGCCTCTGAGCAGTGCACAGCCTGCCCAACCGTCCCCAGCGCCTCTACCACCACCACCACCAACCAGCAGCGTCTCTTCACCGGCGGCTTCTCCCTCTCCTCCCCCTGGCTGGGCCTGCAGCCAAGTAGCAGTGACTCAGCTGGGCTGGGGCCCTGACCCCGGCTCATTGTTTAAAACCAGCCCAACTGGGAGCTTACAGAACCCTACCTGCCTCCCCCCACAAGGCAAGAACCATCTCTGCTGTGCACTGCCGCCCCCATTATAATCCTCAGAGACAGGAGGGCATGATGGGTAACCAGGCTGTCTTATTCAACTCCCCGTGGACCCAGCGTCTCAGGCTGGGGGGCATCTAACTTGGGGACTTTTGCACCCAGAAGGGGAGGAGGGGGAGGCTACCCCTGACCCCGCCCCTATGTGGGCAGCGAGGATGCGGTGGGGGGCTCAGCTTGGCCTCCCAGGCTTAGCTCCTGTTCTCCTCCGGCCGCCGCCAGCTCTGCCTGCTGCTCCTAAGCCTCTCGCTGGCCGCCGGCAACGCCCTGTGGTTGGAGCCCCGCACCACGGCCGCCATGCGGGCCATGCAGGCCGTGGAGAGGGAGCACGGCCTCGGCGGGGAGGTGGCCGGCAGCCACCGGGGCCCCGACCCCTACCGCGCGCTGCGGGAGAAGGACCCCAAGTACAAGGCTCTCCGGCAGGACTTCTTCCGCTACCACGGCCTGTCTTCCCTGTGTAACCTGGGCTGTCTCCTTGGCAACGGGCTGTGCCTCGTGGGCCTCGCCCTGGGCCTCGGGAGCATCTAGCCTGCGCCCCACCTGTGAATAAAGGAGTTTTTGGAAATGACCGCTGCCTGCTGTTTCTGTCCCCTGCAGGCCGGGCAGGAGGGCAGGGGGGCCAAGGGCGGTGCTGCGGGCCTCAGTTTCCCCACTCATGTGGCGTGATGACTTGGAGTGACAGCTGTGGCAGCCCCTGAGCCCCCTCCTCTCATGCTGCCCATTTATGGAGCACCTGCTGTATGCCAGGCTTGGTGCTAACCATGGCACATGTATTATCGTTGCATGTTTAAAGATTTTATTTATTTATTTATTTTATTTTATTTTTTGACAGGCAGAGTGGACAGTGAGAGAGAGAGAGAGACAGAGAGAAAGGTCTTCCTTTGCCGTTGGTTCACCCTCCAATGGCCGCCCCGGCTGGCGCGCTGTGGCCGGCACACTGCGCCAATCCGAAGCCAGGATCCAGGTGCTTCTCCTGGTCTCCCATGGGGTGCAGGGCCCAAGCACTTGGGCCATCCTCCACTGCACTCCCGGGCCACAGCAGAGAGCTGGCCTGGAAGAGGGGCAACCGGGACAGAATCCGGCACCCCAACCGGGACTAGAACCCGGTGTGCCGGCGCCGCAAGGCAGAGGATTAGCCTAGTGAGCCACGGTGCCAGCTAAGATTTTATTTATTTAAAGGAAGAATATATAGAGAGGTCTTCCAGCTGCTGGTTCACTCCCCAAATGGCCGGGGCTGGTCCAATCCAAAGCCAGGAACCAGGAGCTTCTGGGTCTCCCATGTAGTTCAGGGACCAAGGATTTGAGCCATCCATCATCTCCTGCCTTACCAGAGAGCGGGACCGGAAGTGGAGCAGCCAGGACTCGAACCAGCGTCCATATGGGATGCCGGCACTGCAGGTGGTGGCTTAAACCCTGCACCACAGCACCTGCTCCTGTGGCGTCTTAACTAATATGCCAAATGCCACGTCCACGCATTACATATTCCCCTCCTCACAGCCACAGTGAGAGTAGAGGCTGGCTGACGGGGCCCGGGAGACATTGGGCTGCTCGTTACTGGGGGTCTCCCAGCCCTTTCTAGCAAATGCACTTCATCCCCAGGCGGGCACTGGGCTGCGCTGGGGGGCAGGGGGCGCGTGCGGGATCAGAGAAGTGGAGCCCATATCACGTCCCCGGACCCCGTCCTGCTGGCTTGAAAAACAACCAGGACCCCACCGGGGCCTGGATACGGGTCTTTCTTTAGCAAAGTGCTGCACCTCCCATAGAGACAGCCACTGCAAAATTTTACAGAGCCTGGGGCCGGCGCTGTGGCGTAGCAGGTAAAGCTGCTATCCCATTTGTATGCCAGTTCGAGTCCTGGCTGCTCCACGATCCAGCTCCCTGCTGTGGCCTGGGAAAGCAGCAGAAGACGGCCCAAGTGCTTGGGCCCCTGCACCGGTGTGGGAGACCCGGAAGAAGCTCCTGGCTCCTGGCTTCTGCCTGGCTTAGCCCAGCCCTGGCTGTTGCGCCCATCTGGGGAGTAAACCAGAGGATGGAAGACCTCTCTCTCTCTCTCTCTCTCTCTCTCTCTCTCTCTTCTTTCTCTGTAATCTGACTTTCAAAGAAATAAATCTTTTTTTTAAAAAAAACTTTGCAAACTCCCAGTACCCTCACACAACCCTGCACCTGGTTTGGGCCCTTTGACGGATGCGAAACGTGGTGGGGCTGGGATTCGAAGCTGGGATCCAGAGTTTGCGCCGTTAACCGCTGGGCACAGAAGTCTGGGAAAATGGAATTAAAGGATAAAATTTGGTGCAAACCCCTTTTTATAATCCATGCTTAGGCCCCGCCCCGTCCCCCACTCGGCCCCGCCCCGTCTTCCCTGCGGAGCGGCCCCTCCTTTCCGAGCTGGGCGGAGCCCGTGCAGGATCCGGGTGGCTGCGGGCGGCGGTGGCGGCGGCGGCTGCGGCGGCTGCGGCGGCTGCGGAGCCGGGGTCTCGGCCGGGGCCAGGCTGCAGCGAGGTCGGCGTCGAAGTCCAGCGGGCAGCGGCCCCGACGCGAGGTGACCCCCTCGGAGGGCGTGCGCCTCGCCCCGCCCCTGCGCTTCCCGGCAGGTGCAGGGGACAGGGGGGCAGGGGGCGGGCCGGGGGCCTGGGGAACAAAGGCGGGGCTGCAGGGCCACCTCTTCCTTCGCCCCCACCCAGCTGGGCTCAGCGGGCGAGCGCTCCTGGGGCGCGGGCGGACGGGG